CTACAGGGATTTAAAAATAGTTACGCAAAACAGAGCGTGCCGCACTGACCGGCTTTAAAGGGTTAAAACCGGTCTGTCCTTTCAGTGATGAGTCAAAGTCTGCTTTAAATCATTTGATAAATCAGGACACACTCTGAGAAGAGTTCAGTTCAGAGTTTTTAGTAATGAAACGAGTATAAGACACTCCTGGGGACTGGTTTCCTGGTCCAGTGAGAGCTGTGGGAGAATCATGGGGGAACAAGAAGTCATTTACTGTGAGAATAAATAAATAACAGATTCTTATTTTTTTTTAAAAAAAACCCTAATGAAGTAAGACATCTTAAACAGACAGGCTTGGCTGGACAGACGAACTCAGAGGACAAAGTAAAGCTGTTAATGGAGAATCCGGCCAAACGAGCAGGAAGATACACGAAGCTTAATCCTTCATCTTAGACCAGCGCGATGATCGGAGCAGTTAAAGGTTCACCGATTTTTAACTTGGCTGTCCGCGGCGGCGGAGTCCAAACTCAGCCAACTGTTCACATGAACATCGGTACGTGATTCCCTTTGTACAACAGACACTCTGATGGCTGCGTCGGAGAGCAAACTGGGGTTCAGCGTTGGGCGTTCAGGGATCAAACCTTCCAGTTATTAGATGAGCTGCTCTGCCTCCTGACCTACAGACCCAAAGAATCGAACCTTGTTTCCCCGTTAGCCTGGTCACCACGGCAGGCATGTCCCACTGAAAGCTGACAGGCCAGACATTCAGGTCGAGGTTGTCGAGAGTCCTCAAAGCGGCCGGGGCCCCTGAAGGGCGTTGGATGTGATAAACGCTCACACTCCTGGAGGGTCAGTGCTCATTTGCACGTATGAGCTCTAGAACTGCCACAGTGTAGGATGGGCCATCAGAGGAACCGCAGCGTTAATGAGCCAGTGTCCGTTTCACTGCGTGCGCGTGGACCTGTGTGGCTGAACCTCTGAGACAAACATGTGGTACTGACAGGAACTGCCCCGAGGCCTCGTCCCAGGCGGACACGCCCAGAACACCCCAACCGGCTCCTTTCTATGTGAGCACCTTCAGGTTTGACCTGAGCAGTACACAAACATCACAGTGACATCAGGTCAAGTGGACGGCACAGCTGATGATCCTCTCATGCCAGCCAATCAATAACAGCGGGGCGTGGCTTTCTTTAGTGGGAGGCTCGTAACCTCCAATAAGACATAAGTGTTACGCCTTCAGACTGACGTGAAGGTGTGGATCTGTGTGCAGTAGACAGTGAGTGCACACTGAGTGAATCAACAATGGGAAGTGAAAGTTTCAAAGGTGGTCATTTAGGAAAGTGTGCGAGGTTTCCGCGCTGCTGTGTGTGTTTGTTAATGTGGGTACGCCTGAAGCCTCCTGAATAAAAATCCTTCCTCGTTCCTTTTCCTTTGTGATGTTTGCCTAAAACTGATGGATTCACAGATAAGAGTAAAAACTGCCGTCAGCTGCAGCCGTGTTGCATAACAGCAGGTCCCGTAAACCGACACGTGCTTCCATCCATTTATGTCCATTTATTATGGATGATAAGTTTTCAGCTCCTCTCCATCAGGCTGGCAGAGAGCGGGTACTCCCTGTAAACCTCCGCCTGCTATCCCTCTATGTCTCTCTACCCGCTCTCTCTCTCTGCTGGCTCTGTGCTGTGAAGTGAAGTGGGAGAGGAAGACGAGAGAGCAGCGTTACCGACAGGAGGAGGAAAAGGGAGAGGGAGGCGGCGGGAGTGTCTGACAGAGAGGAGAGTATTTATAGGAGGAGAGATGAGGAGTTAGAGCGACAGCAGAGGGAGAGGGAGGCAGAGGTACAAAGAGGGAGAGAGAGGGAGGAAAACCCAGACACAATAAGAAGAAAGGAGAGACAAAGAGGAGGAGGGCGAGCGAGGCACCATGCTGAGGAGGAAGAGGAGCGTGTCGTTCGGAGGCTTCGGATGGTAAGAGCGCTCGCCCTTTGATGAATGGCTGAATAATCTCAGCAGCTCTGTCCGGCACACTTTCTCTGGGTTTTTGAGTTCAGCTCAAGCTGCAAGGAATGACATCACGGTGACATCATCAGCTCTCAAGTCAAATTGTTACGTTCATGTGGAGGATTGTGAATGTTGTTTAGATCAGGTGAGGGAAGCTGAACGCTAACAAAGTTAAAATGGGACGTTTTTTGAATGGACTTTGGTGGGAAAGTTGTCGGGCTCTGCGAGTTCGTTCTTTGTGAGCGTGAGACACGTTTCTGTGTCGTCTGTGTTTCCAGTCGACCGACGGCGAGTTAATCAGCAACTTTCTGCGTTCGGACGAATCCAAAGGGAAGTTTAGCTCTGCAGGCGTTTTCTGTCTTCTCGTCAGCTTCATTTGTTGTGTGGCACCAAAGAGGACAGCGAGCTCACACCCAGCACAGCAAACACATAATACATGTCTGCAGAAAGTCCACACAGTGCATGAAGATGCAACATTCTCCTTCTTTAATGAGAAAATCTGATATTCGATGTCCCAGCTGCTTCTTTCTTCTTCTTCTTCTTGGTGGTGGTTTTGTAGTTAAACTCTCAGCTGACGCGTTCCACGATCATCGCCTGAAACAAAAAGTGGTCACTCTGAAGGAATCAGGTTGATCCATTTCTTTCACTGAGCCCCAAATATTCACGTCATCATCGGAGGTCCTGCATGCATGCCTCGTCCTGCCCCTCTGCAGGCTTCCTGGAATCGGCCAATCAGAGCAGCTTGTTTCAGAGCGGCTAAACTGATGGGCTACAACATTCAAAGCTCGTCTGCCAGAGTCCAAAAATAACAATAAAATCTTTTAAAAGCTGCTTATTTATTTTCTATTCACAGTTTATACACAAATATATTCACAACACCTCGTTACTTATTTTAGATTTAAAGAAACAGTCACTGGAAATGTAAAAGTGTCACACGGAGCATTAAAGCTAACGACACAGATCTGGATCCTAAACAGACCTTACATCACATGCTGGGACCAGAGAAGAGCGTAACCTTGGTTACGACAAATGTGACCCAAAACACAGTGAAATAATATTTATATATTATTAATTACATACAAAACAACAAAATATGTACGAAATATTTAAATATTAATAATGAGTTAGAAAGTTTATTATGTATGTAAGTAAAAAGTTTATTATTTACTCAAATTATTTGTGTAATATACTTTATAAATTAATTATTTAAGAAATGTTTTATTTATTTATATGTAATGTATAAATAAATAAAACATTTAAATGTATGTAATAAATGCCCGAAAACGTCATAAATCTTCGCAAAGGCATTTTTTTAATTATTAGACCACCACTGGTGGTGGTCAGAGGGCCCGGTGGCGCCTGTGTCCGGCAGCCTCGCCTCTGTCAGTGCGCCCCAAGGCAGCTGTGGCTACAATGTAGCTGCATCACCAGTGTGTGACTGAATGTAGTGTAAAGCGCTTTGGGGTCCTTACGGACTAGAAAAGCACTATACAAATGCAGGCCATTTACCATTTACCATAATACAAAAACTTCAACTATTAATATTTTATTATTATTAATAAAATGATGTATTAAAAATATTCTTAATTGATAAATTCAGAAGTTCTTGAATATCCGTTTAAATAAAAAAAAATCCAAAATGTAAAATGTTATATTATTATTATTATTATTGGTTTATTGTTATTATTAAATACATCATGGAATTATGGAAACATTTAGTAACAAACATTAATTATGTCTGTGAAGGTTCTCGGTCATCCAGGTCATCGTAGTCAAAGAAAAGCG